AAACATTTTCAATAAGTAATGTATAGAAAAATAATAAACTCTGGAAAAAAGCTAATATTTTATCCAACCAAAAACCTTTTCGTATAAAAAGGGAAATATACGACACCAGCTTGCTGGATCTATCAAGTGATTGTACCATCAAGCTCGAAGCATATAACTTACCAGCGTGCTGGTACAATATTTATTTCTTTACAAATGAGGTCGAGGAAAGATCGAAATGATTTGAGCCGAAATTTCATAATTTTTTCTACCATTTTGTTAAACATTGTTTTTTTTTTTTTAATTCACAACTGCAATATTGTGAACTTAATATTCCACAAACACGGCTTTGACTTTTTACTTAGAAAATTGAGCTAAGTTCACCACTCACGACACCATGCTGGTACAATCATAAAATTCTCAAATAGCTTTTGAAGTCGCACCAGCAGCTGGTACAATCACACCACAAGAACATACACGGTCAATCGACTTGATGGGCCATTTAACAAATTTAGCATATTAAGGGCCGTAAACTTATCTATTTTAAACTATAATCGTTAATAGATATACACTTTTACAATATGTACATATATATAAAACCGTAAGGAACATACAACACATATATGTATATATATCAGTCCTTCTTAGTTTAAAAATTCATCTCTTACATAAATGAAAAAAAAAATGAGATCAAATTAAACATATACCACTTTTTCATGCCAAGTAAACCGATAACTTTATCAAACAGATATTCTGCCCATGCCCTCCTTTCGTTTATACTTGCGACAATAGCCGAGTTTTCTTTGGTTAGCGAGCTCAGTATCACAAATTTTATACTACGAGCACGAAGATAAAGAAATTTTAGAAATAAACTCACTAAATAGGGAAAAAATTATATTTGAAAGAGATAATATCCATTTAAATAAATATTTAACATAAAGGCGATTTATTTGAAGCAAGTTGACAGAAAAACAAGTAAAGAAGTATAAGTTCAGTAGACGCAGGTATCAACTTTGTCTAAACTACATTTGCATGATAAGGGAAACCCCACATTATCATTGAAACAAAACTAACTGAACGGATCATAAATTTAACCACATCTCTATCAGGATCATATCGTGGTTTTTTTCTTTGCGTGCAAAATTTGTATGCGGATCCCGATTATTGCACAAGAAAACACAACTAGAGTTGCGACAGAGTTACATTGGCTTAAAGTTACCAAGTTTATTCACTGAAATCGCTGGATAAATTTAACAGAAATGTGTAATCAAGATTCCATACACATTTTGGCAGTTAATTTATAAAGTTTACACGATTACGGTTTATAATGCATTTATAAGGTTTGATGAATACCCTTTCTGCATTAAAATATGATGTAAACAGTGTTAACGAAGACATGCCATAACTTTGAAACGTGCGCTCTCTCTAACATTGTTTACATTATATTTTAATAGAGCATTTTGCGATTCAGTATTTTGAATTGGTTTAAACAAAATTAAATCACTGGAAATAGTTATAACCCCGAAATATTTTCCTGAGTTTTGGTCAGTACATGACAGCAATGCGTTGGAAACAGAAACCTTTTCTAGAACGCTTTATTAGTTCTAGTGTAATAAGCGTTTTCGTGAAGCTCTAAAAATTACAACTACAACATTTGAGTATGGCATCAAAATTGCTGAAAAGATTATGCCCCTATTATTGATGTGCAAAATTGTGCGATTAAATTACTTTGAAAAAAAAATTCCTTGCATACACAATTTTTCATTAAAATCACCATCGAATTCTCAATTAAGTTCTTTTTCAAAGCTTAGTTTTACATCCTCAGCAAGCTGAAGTCTAGACATCATCACATAAAGCTGTTCATGAATAAACACTCGCTGTTTTAGAAAAATTCCTACCTTTTCCAATTTTTGATGAGATTTGTTTATGATCATTGAGATTGAGAATTTAACGGAAAATTGTGTGCCACGGAGGTCGCTTTGTACTTGTCGGTGCCAACTCTATTCTTGTAATGAAGACTATCACGTGCCCGGCGGAGCCTCTTAGTGTTCGGGGCAATTAGTCTCGTTTTGTATTTCTAAGAAGTAGAGTCCACACGAAGGTAGATTTTTCGGCGAAGCCGAAGCCGAACCGAACGTTCGGTTTTAATCTAACATTCCGCCGATTACCGAGGCCGAAGCCGATGATTTACTTTAAAATTAAGTAAATCGAATTTGTCAAAGAATAAGCTCCATTTTGCTGTTTTAATTGTACAATGTACATGTAATACAAAATACATAGAAACGTATTTTTCTCTTGTGTATTAAAAAAAAAATTTCTTAAAATTAGTGTTTTAATTGTACAACGTACATGTAATACAAAATACATAGAAACGTATTTTCTCTTGTGTATTAAAATAAAAGTTCTTAAAATTAGTTTAGTCACAGTTCAGTTTCTGTGCAAAGTCATTGTTATGTAGTAATTATATTTGTTTATATGAACTTTAATAACATAATAATAATATTTTGGTGCTTACACTTTTTCTAAATGTTTAGCCGAGCTTCTCCTTTAATTTGTGGTGTACGTCTTAATATTGTAACACAAATCGAGGGACCTACAGTTTTACGCCGCTTCCGCACACCAAATGGATTTTATCAGAAGCTTTTTCATTGCAGAAACACGCTCGGAGGTTTGGCATTTTCTAATCTGATGTTGTCACTTAAATTCAACAATTTGTTTGCGTTCTCGCGGCGGCTGGTGGGTGGAGCAGAAAGTTATTTTTCAGCAACTGCTTTAAGTAACTCTAGGGAGCCAGTATTGCAATATTGAAAAATATCGGCACCTCTAATAACTCGTTTATATGTATATTCCTTAATCATAATTTCAAATTCTCTCGAAGTTCTCAGCTGGCAGCTGATTTTCCGAAAAAGTAAGCAATACCTTTTTTTAAACCTATTATTCACAATAAATGTGTACCTTTAAATTATAATAAATGTTCAAAAAAAAAAAATTGTAATCTACAAGTAGATAGCAAAAAGGTTCGGCTTCGGCAAAAACTTCGGTAGCCGAAGCCGAGCATTCAGCTGAATATGAAAATCATGCCGATTAATCGGCAAACCGAAACCGAAGCCGAACAATCGGTCGGAATCTACTAAGAAGCACAAGCACATTCGCTATTTAGTAGTTTAGTTTATGAAAAGGCATCTCTGAATTCATCATTCATACTGATTTGTTATCGTTAGTTTTGTTTACGTTTTTAAACCACCGTCTTCGATAGAATCCACATTTAGGCATGCCATCAGCATTTTCTGGACACAGCATAGACTTTTTAGAATACCCCTAGTTAAGACTGAAAAATGCTGTCAAACAATTTCTGAAGGCATTGAAAATCGTTGGAATTAATAGTTTCAGTGATATATCGTGAAGAACAGGACGCTTCTGAATGAATACATTTCTCAATGCAAAATTTCAGGCTTAGGGCTTGGAAAAGCACGGGATTTAGCAGTTTCAGCAATGTGTGGTGAGGATAGGAAGCTTGTCCTACACACATTTAATAAGATTATACATTTGTCATAACGAAAGCACTCAGTATATTGCAGACTTTCACCGACTAAATACTTATTTCGTCACATCCGAAAATGATCTTTCGTACTGATTTCAGCGGGACTGTACTGATCTAAAAGCATTGCCCTACTGAAGATTTTTTTTGTAATAGCTATGGCATAAAAGGGAAACCAATTATTCTCAAAAATATCGTCGCTTGGGGCGTAGAGCTGCAAAACTATCGATAGTGCCCCCATTCGATAGTTTCGATAGTTTAGGTTGCCCACTATCGATAGTATCGACATATTTTCAATGGATAAAGTTTAAAGTTTTATTTATATATAAACCATTGTTTCGTTCAAATAAAGTACTTAGTATATATTTCTTTCACATACAGATTATTTCATTTTGTGAACACAAGGAATTAACGTTGTCTAAGGAACTTTAATAAAAATAAATATATAATGAGATCATTATGGGCACAGCCATTTGTTTTTGTTTAAAAAGATTATGATGTCAACATTTTTAGCTTTGAGTGATGCTCTCCAATCGGAGAGTAAATATCCAGCTTTGCTGAAAACTCGTTCAGGCTCTGTTGACGTTGCTGGAGTGCACAAATAGCGTAGAGCACATTGTGTTAAGACTTTCATATCAGTATTTGTCTACAAAACATAGAACAGAAATTATTAAAAGCTAAATTCCCATAGACGGCCATTGTTACCTTCCAATATTCTAATGGATCAAAATCATGTGGCAAATTTTGATTTTCGAAATATTGACGAAGCATTATAATGGCATCAGCTCTTGTGGATTTACGTTTACCAGCGACCTTGTCATTTAAGAACTTAAAGAGCGGTGCAATTTTCGGCTGTTGTGTTGACGATTCTGGTGATGTTACCGTATGTGTCGGCAAATCAGTAACTACGGGACTCAAAGTTTTAAGCATGTTAGAAAGCTCATTTTCCAAAGCTAAAGCTGCCTGTTCCGCAATGATATGGTTTCTGAACCCTTCCTTTTTGAACCGGGGGTCAAGCAATGTACTCATTTTGGGTGTGGTTCGATTTTCATAGGGGACAAGCCTTATTTGCAAACGTTCAATCAAAATGTTGAATATGGCAAGCCCTTCATTTGGTTTTAGTTTATTATGCGTTTCATTTAGAGTTTGAAAGATACCACATATGATAGGAATGATTAACGAAATTGTGACAGAGTTACTTGCAGATACTTGAATGGTCGCGTCATCAAATGGTGCCAATAATTCAACTAATTCTTCTAGTAGCTCTATTTCGTCAGCAGATAAAGTCTGGGGTGCTTTTGGGGTTCTTAAAATTACAGAGGAAATTATATCCTTAGTTTGCAAAATTCGCTTTAAGTATCATGCGATATGCACTGTTCCAGCGTGTCGGACATTCTTGCAATAAATTATAAACTTTTCCTGTTCCTTGTGCATTTTTAAATTTGGCGTAAGCGATCGAGCTACTTTTGAAGTAGGTCACAACCTATTTGCATTTCGTTATCACATTTTTGACTTTTTCAAAAGCTAACACATCTTGCACAACCAAATTTAATGTGTGAGCAAAGCACGGAAGATGTCGTTTTTGCAACAATTCGCATGCTTTAATCATGGATGACGCATTGTCGGTGATAACATTCGAAACTTTATCTAAAACGCCCCACTCCGTCAGTACAATTCGCAAGGACTCGGCAATATTGGCAGCCGAATGATTAGTACTCTCCAAAAGATTGTAGGTAGACAATACTGCGCTTCTTAAGCTACAATTTTCAATGAAGTGACAGGTTACGGTTAAGTAACTCTCGTTTGCCCGAGAGGTCCATGCATCCGTAGAAATAGCACAAGTATTTACTTTCATAAGAATATTTTTAAGATTTGCTTTTGATTGATCATATAATTCGTGGCACATTACATTCTGCAACGTGGTTCTGCTAGGCATCACATAGCGCGGATCTAGTAACTTGACGAAAGCGGAAAAAGCCTCGTCTTCTACGATTCGGAAAGGCTGGTAATCTATGGCAATCATTTTCATTAGTGCACTGTCAAGTGCTTTTTTACGAGCCGAATGCGAGTCATACGTTTCTGATGCATTGAAAAATGAAGTTATTTTATTTGGTTTCGACATTCTGTTGTAACCAGGATGTGTGCGTTTTAAATGGTCCAACAAATTGGAGGTATTGCCGCTGGTTTTGTATACTTTTTCACAAGACAAACATTTTGCACGCGTTTTATCCTTGGATCGCTGTAAATAAGTCCACACTTCTGAAATTGCATTTCGGCTTCGTTTGCACACTACGCTCTCACATTCGCTGCCTGATTCATTTGGTTCGCTGTTTTCATGAACCGTTGCTGCAAATATTAATGTTTTCGTTCAGTATTGATAGATATAACTACACGTATATATATTTTATAATGCTTACCACTTTCTTGAGACATTTTAATTTATTTACAACTCATTCAACGCCACAGCCTCGCGCCTTTTTATTTGACAAACTTGTTAAATTCAAATAAAAGAAGTGCAAAATTAGAAAAAACTATCGATTGTCGCAAGTAAATTCGATGGTTTTGCAACTATCGATAGTATTAACCTAAAAACGACACCATCGATAATGTCGATAGTGTAAATTTAAGACACACTATCGATACTATCGATAGTGCCATCGATAGTTTTGCAGCTCTATTGGGGCGCAATATCTCGCATATGCCAAATGCAATGACACGTACTTGTATGATAGCCCAGAAATAGAATTTCTAACTGAACTTAATAAATATAAGCTTCTACAGGCTGGACATGTTTGCACTAGACCCTAGTCACTCGTCTATTGGTACAGAGTTCATCCATTCTGTTTCGGCAATATCGTGACTCCATCTTGTCGAATCCACATATTTTCCAGCTCAAAATCCGAATTTCAAGAATAATGGAAAAAGAAACAAAGTCTAAGCGGTAGAGGTTATGGCAGCTATTTCGAAGATCACCAAATCTCCTCATCAGACTTCTTTTAATTACTTTAGTTCCACTAATCGTGCCCCTCGCAGAAAATAATCGAAAAAATTATTTAATATCCGTTACACTTTTATCTAAAAATCCCAAATACAAAGTAACTACAAACGCCTCTTAACCTTCTTTCGAAATAAAAACCAAAAAGCGTCCAAATCGGCACTGTATACACCTCCGTTACGGAATACTGTGAATTAGAGTTAGGTTTTCATATTTATGAGCGGTTGAATTCAGTGAGTTGTAACTGCAACTGTTGCTTCGCAAATATGCCACAAATTTCATAAATTGTACCTGCAATTTATTTTTTCATACAAATCTACTCATTGCATTTTCTGTGGGCTTGTGCAACTTTGCACAGTGGTTAAGTTTTATAAAGTATTTGATCAAAATATACTTGAACGCTGAGTAAAATAAGAACAGGTACTTACTACGGCTAGTAAGTGTTTTTGTATGCATTAAATCAAAAAGTGTAGGCAACCGTTGCTATTTTGAGTTTTACAAGATATTTTTTTAAATACTATGTTTGTAGAGGAGCCGCTCAAATTTACCATTATATGCACCTACATATATAAGTATGGAGTTTATATATGTATGCAGTGTATTGTCTATTGTGTTATGCATTGACACGAATTTCACTAGCGAATGCCTATATGGCTGACTAACCACACAATTGACTGACTAGTTGCCAACATGCATTAATGCTGAACAATAGTTACAGCCATCACAATTTCGAATTGCATATGCCGAAGATTTCATTTGTAAAAGTGCAATATGCAATGTATTTTTGGGCTTACGATTACAAACACACATCAAAATATTACCCTTAATTAAATGCGCAGTGAACCTTGGGAAGTATTAATGAAGATTAACTAGTTTTTTACATTTTTTGAATGTCGGCTTCGGTTAGTTGGGTTCGAGAAATGATACCGACCAACTCCAGTAAAACTCTAGCATAGATTTAAAAGCCCAAAGGCAAGTAGATTATTTGCACCTAAATTCTCCGGAATTAATTTTTGGTTATGGCTTCATACCAACATAAGAACTTTCTGTATGAAAACTATGTAAAATGTATGGTCTTAATTTCAATATAAAATTTTTCGAATAACTCGTAAAACGGTTTTGACTAAAAGGCGAATACCCTAGAATGTACCTAATGGGAAAGCAAAGCTTACCTTAAACCTTAAGTTGTAAGGGCTACTACAGTAAGTAGATTTGTCAAGGTTGATTGACTGTCGTTTGAAGGCCTGCGGGTAAGAATTGTGCTTCGTCCGATCTCTGGCTAACAGTAGCTGGCTCCTAAGTAAACAAAGTCCTTTACTATACTGTCAACAGGGTCTCCCTTTGTTTATTTATTGCTATGAGGTAATTTGGCTTTTCCTCATTCTCCTCTAAACTAATATCTTTTTCTTATTTCTTAAGGTTGAGTAAAGGCTCAAAAGCTTCAAATGTAATTACAGATTTCAGGGCCTCTGAAAAATATTTAGTTTCTGCTTTGCAATTGCTTACAACAAACACAAAAAGATGAAGTGCACTGACTGCACTATTTGAAAGACTGTTAAAATACCAAAGTAGAAATAGCAGCCAGAAACTGGGAAGTTTGTGTTTGTGTGTAATTTGTCGTTTTTCTATGCTTCTATCTCTTTAAAAGTTTCGAATATTTAGCCCATATTGTTTAGTTTTTTTCGATTTTCCTTTTGAAATGCTGCAATAATCTCTAACGCATTATTGGAAAGAGGAAAATCTAATTGGGGTCATGTGACTTGTGGTTTCGAAGTTATGGCTGATAAAAAATTCGAAAAATATGTTAAGTGCTACGCCCCCTTTTACAAACTCATTTATATATACCTTTCTATAAGCACCTACCATAGATATGTCTGCATACCAAATGTTATGTTTATGTGACTTATGGTTCCCAAGTTATAACTGGTAAAATATTCCACGCCTTTGGGATTTGCCGCCCTCTTTCACAGTCCCATTTACATATATACCTTACTATAAGCACCTACCAGAGATATGTCTGCATACCAAATTTCAAGTTCATGTGACTTACGGTTCCGAAGTTAGAGCTGGTTAAATAATTCACGCCTATGGGAGGTTCCACGCCCCCTTTTCCAATACCGCCAATTTTTTCCCATTAGTATGGAATTAATTTTATTTATCTCGACAGCAAGTTCCAATGCCCTTCCACAAATATTTCAAGAGATATACAACATGAAAATTTTAGTTAGTTAGGAGGTGTCACGCCCTCTTTTCCAGTACTACCCATTTTTCTCTATGCCTATAACCTTCCCGGGGTAAAAGCAAATAAGTGTGCAAAGTTTCGTGCGATTCCGTGCCGCGGTTCAGAAGTTATAAGGTAATAAACAAACAGACATTCACATTTATATATATAGACTAGCCAATGCCCGCTTACTTCGCGGCGCCTAATAAGAGCTTTTGCGTTGGCCAATGCAAAAGAGCGTTTAAAAACAAAATTAGTCTGTAAAGTCAAAATTTTTGATTTAAGTTGAAACCACTAAGGCGCAGTATCCTCCTCACACATAGGTCAATAATAGTAACGCTGTGATACCATATGGAATACCAATCCCTTTCGGTGTCATGAGCTTTACCGATGGTCTTATTTCCACCTGTGTGATCTCTGCCAAGCATGCGTAATCTTTTTGTATGATCTTGCAACTCAAGAGCACAGAAGTGCGCTTTCTGTTATAGGAGGGCCAAGAATCCTCGCTGTCCCACAGGATGAAAAGTTTTCCGGTACATTGCTAAATGAGCCGTGTGATCCCTTAAGTATCTTTCAAATGAAGCACGGTGATCTTTCCTTTTTAATTCGCCACTTTTACAATTCGTGGTAAAATTTATGAACTGATTTCTGGGTAGATGCAGGACCGCATGATCGTGCATGAGGGCGTCAGAAAAACTTAACCCGATCCTTCATTTAGACATCTGGAAACTAAATTCGTATAACTTAAACATAGGGCCAAAGCAGACCAACCACACGGGGTTTCTATACATTTCAGCTGCAGCGCCATCCATGGGCGTAACCAGGTAGGGGCAGGGGGGTGCTCGAGCCGCCCCCCCTAACTTTCAAATTCTCCTTATATATAAATAAAATAGTACCCTGAAATGCCAGCTTAATAGGGTCGATAAGTAATGGTATAGAAAAACAATGAACCCTGGAAAAAAGCTAATATTTTATCCAACCAAAAACCTTTTCGTATAAAAAGGGAAATATACGACACCAGCTTGCTGGATCGATCAAGTGATTGTACCATCAAGCTCGAAGCATATAACTTACCAGCGTGCTGGTACAATATTTATTTCTTTACAAATGAGGTCGAGGAAAGATCGAAATGATTTGAGCCGAAATTTCATAATTTTTCTACCATTTTGTTAAACATTGTTTTTTTTTTTTAATTCACAACTGCAATATTGTGAACTTAATATTCCACAAACACGGCTTTGAAATTTCCGCCAAATTATTTTTTACTTAGAAAATTTAGCTAATTTCACCACTCACGACACCAGAACGCTGGTACAATCATAAAATTTTCAAATAGTTTTTGTAGTCGCACCAGCAGCTGGTACAATCACACCACAAGAACATACAAGGTCAATCGACTTGATGGGCCATTTAACTAATGAAGCATATTGGGGGCCAGTTTTTCAGTGCACGGCCGTGGTTCAAACTAAGTTTAAACGCCCGATCTGGCTGGTTTAAACTAAGATCAGCCAACCAAATGTCAGTCAGCTGTTCAATTTAAACCCAGTTTACTTAATCTGAGTTTAAACTGGCACTGAAAAACTGGCCCTAAGGGCGGCAAACTTATCTATTTTAAACTATAGTTAAATCGTTGATAGATAAGTTAAAAAACAGCCCTAACACTTATACAGTATGTATGTATAAAAACGTAAGGAACATACAATACATATATGTCAGTCTTTCTTAGTTTAAAAATTCATCTCTTACATATATGCAAAAAAAAAATAGATCAAATTGAACATAAATATACAACTTTTCCATGCCCAGTATGAATAAATTCTCCAAAGGGCTAAAAAAGGGCTAGGGACAATTTTAAATTTATGTGGCCAAAAAAAGTATGTGGTAGATAAATCTAGCCACCAAAGGGCTAAAACGGCAACACTGGTTACATCCCGAGTTAATAAAAGGAAGGTAATGAATACGTGTTATGAATTTCAACCTTAACTCCAGCGGCACTAATCGGGTAAATTTTTATCAAAAGAATTTTTCGTCATACAGGTACATAGCTCACATTTAAAATTTAAACGAAATTGGTTAATGAATACGATTTTTATAAATAGCTCTACTCCAGCACCACCAGTTTTCTAGTTGCATGTAATTGATCCATATATGTATTTAAGATAACCTCCGCCAATCTGACGGAACTCTATTCAGTGTTTTTTGAGGTAATTCCGAACA